CATGATGGCCGCGGCGGCCGGCTCGTTGGCAGGACGCAGCCTTGGCGATGCGGGTGAGACTTCGCACATGCTCGAGACCGAGGAGCGAGGCAGTGCGTTCCCGTCTGCCGCTGCCGCGGGAGCTGCGGGCGTAGGTGCGGGCGCGGGTGGTGCGGCCATGATGTCGAGCCACTCGCGTTCGAGTCGCTACTCGGAGGAGCAGCCGTTCACATCGGACGAGGCATCGCGCATGGCTGATGCCTTCCGCAACGCGCTCCGCAATCCCGAATTTGCGCCCGTGATGGGCGGCGAGTCGTCCGGCGCCGACGGCGAGAGCCCCAACGAGGCGGGCGGCGGCTCGCGCGCCTCGGCGCTGCTGCGCGAAGAGCTGGCGGCCGAGGGCAAGGACCTGCTCAGTGTCGGCGACCGCAAGAAACCCACCTGGCATCCAGAGTAGACGCTGCCAGCATGGACACTTTTGTTCTTTTCCATTCTCCAAGATCTTTGCATTCCCACTTTGCGCCTGTAGACGGCGGCATGGACACTACTTTCTCTTTTGTACCTTTTTCCTCTTCTTTGCAATGGTCTTTTTTTTGCATCTCATACAACGTGTGCTTACCGAAGTCTGATCGGGGCCTAGAGCTGTGCTCGATGAGGCCGGTACGGCGTGAGAGTCAACGCTGCTTTTCTGCAGCCTTGGCATTGAGGTCCGGGTTGCAACGCATGGTGTGTGGCGTCACTCGTCAAGTCTCATTGTTCGTTAAGCTTTAAAGGGGGGCTTTTCTTGGACGGAGAAGACGGTGGCTAGGTGTCGGGCGGCTGACGCAGTGCAGGAGAACGTAATGGCGGCTGATCCGATGAGGAGCGTTCAGTGCACTTACGAGCCCGGGACAGTTGCACGGGGGTGTCTGCGGGTCCATCGACCTGACTGCGCCAGCGTTGGTCGGGGCAGTGCCGACGAGCCCTGTGCTCAAGTTGTGATGCCCGTCTCTTCACACTCCTTGTCGGCACCTCCGCAATCAGCACTCGCGCGCCGCATTGCGCTTTCGGTCTCATGCAACGATCCGCTCTGTCGCTTTTGCACTGCATTGCATTCACGGCTTGGACGTCCGCTCGTGCACACGGTCCAAAAAGTCCCTTCGGTCAAGGTACCCCTTCATATCACCCAACCCTCTTGATCCGCCGGTGGTCTGGGCGTCCAGCTGGTCTCGCTCCTGCTGCGACATGGCGGTGCGGTCGTGCTTGAAGCTGTCCCAGTCGAGCTTGCTTTTCTCGAGCGTGTTCAGCTTGGTCGGTTTCGCCGTCGCGGCGGCCGAGAGCGTGGCGAGCGACGAGGTTTTCTTGCGTCGTGGACCGGCGGCTGGTCGTGCAGCTGGTATAGAAGCAGGTGACACTGGAGACTTGGATGCAGATTGGCTCAGGTAGGCAATGGCGTCCGGATGCGTGCGCGGAAGGAGGCGTGTGGATGCCTGCACTTCGCCGGCGAACGTAAATGTCGTTGGCACCGCGACCATCTCCTCGCCCGCCGTTGCTGCTAGCGCTCCTTGTGTAGAACTGTCCGATGCAGCGGCGGGGCTCTTGGTTTCAGACGCTTTCATGGCTTCCCACTCTGCATCTGCTTTGGCTTTCAGCGCGTCCGTTTCGTCCTTCGATGCAGAGGCTTCTGCAGCCGCCGTGTCGTGCTTGGCAAGCCGTCTGCGTTTGCCTAGGCGGTCCTCGCCTCCAGCTGCAGCAACAAGCTCCTGCCGCTCACGCTTAAGCGCCTCGAGCTCCTCCTCATCGACAGCTCCTGCGGTGACGGGGTCTTCCTCGCCATCCGAGTCTTCTCCTGACGAGGAGTCGTCCGAACCACGCGCGCGGCGAGACTGGCGGCTAGCCTTGGGAGAGCGAGCGCCCGATGGCTCCGGGGCAAAGTCGTCGTCCTCCGAGTCACTTGCTGCATCTGAATCGTCCTTGCGCACGGCAAGAGGCCGTGCAGATGTTGATGCTGCCGGTGCTGCAGACATGTCTCGTCGTGGATGGAGGTGGTTTCAGAAGAAGTGATTGCATATGCAATTCGGCAAAGAACCTCCACACCGAAGGGCAGAAAAATTGCATGTTAGACTGAGGCTCCAAGGCTGAGCCACCGAGTGTCCGTGCGAAGGCTTGCGACGCTCGAAGTTCCACGCTGCCACCTTCCCTTTCTCCTTCTCCACCACCACCCATACTCTCCTTCGGCTTTCCACGCTCTGTGACACGACTAGCACCGGCAAAAGCGAGCGCTGCATCCCACTTGCACTCTCGGCCCGCCTCGTGGCAGTGGCAAGCCTCCCGCAACCATGCCCGTCTCCTTCGATCAGTGGCAGCACGCCGCCGTCTCGGCCATCTTCAACGTCACGCTCGACGCACAGCAGGCGCAAGAGAGCGGCTACGAAAAGACTTACCTCCATGAGCTCGCGAACGAACTCGCTGCCGAATCAGGCTCCGGCACGCCACCACAGCTGACAGCAGCCGTCGCCGATCAGATCCTCATCGCGCGCCTCTCTCTCGATCCAAACGCGGACGTGATGAGCGACGATGCACAGCATATCACCGTCCTCGCCAGCTTGCCCAAGGGACAGACCTCGTGGGACTATCTGGCGGCTTGCTGGAAAAAGGCGAGGGCAGAGGAGGGCCGCGTGCGCAAGGCGCTGCCCGCAGCTGAGCAGCAAAAGGCGCTGGGCGTGCTCGAAGAGATTCGCGGCCTTCTGGTCTCGTATGCCGGCCTGGTGCTGCAGACACCAGACATGTTCCCCAATGCAGCAAAGCCCAACGGCACGCCGCTCTCGCCTCTCGTGCTTGTCGACAGCCTCATGCGTGTCTCGTCGTCCATGTCCACCTTTGGCTTCTCCGGCTCGGACGCCTCGGCGCATTCAACCACCGACCTCACCACCAGTTTCGAGACCATCGACGCAGACGACCTGCCCGTCTTTCTCAGCGAACTCGCCGCTAGGTTCGGCAACGGAGAGGGGCTCGATGACATTCTCGGGCCAGCTTTCGCTGAGCTTACGAGGAGGATCCGCGACGGAGATCGAGGCGCCGATCCTGTTCCTCAAGCTTCTTCCTCCCCCGCCTCACAAGCACAGTCTGCTACCACACAAGCAGGTGGCGTCAACCCAGCTGCGCTCAATCAGGCGCTCGCGAGTCAGGACGTCCAGTCGGTCATCGCCCAGCTCCTCGCCGGTCGCATTCCCGGCGCACAGCAGGGCGCAAATCCACTCGCACCCAACGTCAAGCCCAACGAGGGCCTCACCATCGTAGGACTGGAGTGGAGGCCCTACGTCAACGCCATTGTCGAGGCAGTCGAGATCAAGCCCATCGCTAGCATGCTCGCGCATCTGCCCAGCTTCGATCCGGCCAACACGACGGCGTCGCGCATCGAGCTCGACTCGCTCTTTGGACCCATCCTCCGCCTCTCGTCGTTCCCGGACGCCTACCCAAGCATCACGCAGCACTACTTTGCCAATGCCGCAACGCAGAATCAGCAAGAGGCAGACTCCAACTTCCGCAGCATCCAGAGCACCATGGAGATCGTGCACTCGCTCAACTTTCGCATCTTCAACGCGCTCGTCCGCGCCAGCCCGCAGGCGCGCGAGCGCGTGCTGGCGTACTGGGGTCGCGCGTGTGCGCTCAACGCCAAGCGCGGTGCCATGCAGGTGCGCCAGGAGCTCGTGGCTACCGACGGCTACATGGTCAACTTGTACGAGATGCTGCTCCGCTTCGCAGAGCCCTTCATGGACGCCGGGCTGACCAAGATCGACCGCATCGACCTCGAATATCTGCGCATGCAGACGCGCTTCGATATCGCCGATCTCACGCGGATCAACGCCACCGAGGCCGAGGCCAAGGAGTGGGCTCAGAAGGCACAGGCGGGCCCGGCGCCCGCACCCGCAAACTTCATCACCGAGGTATTCTACATCGCTTTGCGGCTCAACAACCTCGGGCTGGGCAAGGCGGTGCGCCGCATCGACGACAAGGAAAAGGAGATGGGCCGCTTCAAGAAGCGCATCGCCGAGACCGAGGCGGACCGGGCCATGTGGTCGGCACTGCCGCAGGCGCCGCAGTACGAGACGTTCCTTAAGCGCGCCAAAGCCGAGGTGGATAAGCTGCACGGCGAGATCTATGCGGCACAGGCACAGCTCGCGGCGCCCGAGTTTGTGCAGCGCATCATCACGTTCAACTGCTTCGTCATGACGTGGCTAATCCGTGTGGCCGAGCCGAATGCCAAGCATCCGCATCCGCAGGCGGCACTGCCGCTGCCGCAAGAGGTGCCCGAGCGCTTCCGCATGCTGCCGGAGCACATCTTTGAGGACGTGTGCGACGTGATGCTGTTCGTCTCGCGCATCAGTGCGCCACTCACGGAGCAGGCCAAAAACGACCTAGTGACGTTCTGCACCACCTTCCTCAGCTCCGGCTGGTACATCAAGAACCCGTTCCTCAAGGCCAAGCTCGCCGAGATCTTGTTCTACAACGTGATTCCCTGGGGCCGACACACGCAGGGCGTGCTGGCGGATACGCTCAACATCCACGGCCTTGCGCTGCAGCATCTGGTGCCGGCGCTGATGAACTTTTGGATCGAGGCCGAGAACACGGGCAGCAACTCGCAGTTCTACGAAAAGTTCAACATGCGCTACCATCTGTCGCAGATCTTCAAGGCGGTGTGGCGCAATGCACAGCACAAGCAGCAGATCCAGCGCCAGGCTCAGGCGGGCAGTCCGGATTTCGTCGTTTTCATCAACCGACTCATGAACGACGTCACCTACCTGCTCGACGATGCGCTGGATAAGCTGCAGGAGCTACACACCAAGCAGAGCGAGCAGGGCGAGGACGGCGCCGCCGGCAGCAGCACGACGCAGGAGCGCCAGGAGCGCGAGGGACACATCCGGCAGCTGGAACAGACGATCAAGTCGGATCTGCAGCTGGGCACCGAGTTCCTGCGGCTGCTGATCGACTTTGCTGCCGAGACGGCGGATGCGTTTATGACGCCCGAGATCGTCGACCGTCTTGCGGCGATGCTGGACTACAACCTGGATCTCATGGCGGGACCCAAGTGTCAGAACCTCAAGGTGCAGCAGCCCAAGAAGGTTGGGTTTGAGCCGCGCAATCTGCTGCGCATGATCATGTCGGTGTACCTCAACCTGTGCACCAAGCGCGAGTTTGTGGCAGCGATCGCACGCGATGGACGCAGCTACTCGCGGCCGGTGTTTGAGAAGGCGGGCGCGATCGCGGAGCGCTATATGCTCAAGAGTCCGCCCGAGCTCGAGGCTTGGGCGGGCATGATTGCGCAGGTGGAGGAGAGACGGCAGATGGAGCAGGACGACGAGGAGGAGCTGGGCGATGTGCCGGACGAGTTCCTCGACCCGCTCATGGCGACGGTGATGAAGGATCCTGTGCTTCTGCCGCGCTCCAAGACGGTGGTGGACCGATCGACCATCAAGGCGCATCTGCTGAGCGATGCCACGGATCCCTTCAACCGCTCGCCGCTCAAGATCGAAGACGTCGTGCCGGATACCGAGCTCAAGGCGCGCATCGAGGCGTTCATCGCCGAGCGCCGCGGTGCAAGGTCGTAATGCGAATGTGGTTCGATTCTTGCATATGGTACAGCTGTGCAGTGTGTCGTGTGTGTGCGGTTGAGGGTATGATCTAGCTCTTCATGAGTTTCTTGCGTTCGGCCTTGGCCTTGTTGACGGTGAACTTTTGGTTGGTCTTGTCGGCGCGTTCGATGGCCTTGAGTTTCTTGTCGCGTGCCGCCTTGCCTGTGGGTGTTGATGCGGTGCGCTTCTTCGAGGGTTGCGCTTGAGCGTGCTGGAACGGTTTGAACGGTTCGGCCGGCTTGGGCTTGTCGGCGGCGGAGGCGGTGGGCTCAAAGTCGACCTGGAGACCCGGGTCGGGTGCTCGACGGTCCGCACCTGCAACAATCACATTCAGAATGGGGTCAGATTCGAATACGAATTCAGTAGATTGGACAGGAGACTTACGCTTGAGCTTGTTCGAGTGCTTGACCATCGTGTGAGTGTCGTGGGATGGTGGTAGAGCGAACGACGACGGCTTCGGCGGCAGAGAAGGAGATGGCCACAGTGGAAGTGGAAATTTTCGCCCCGTCAAATGTGGAGAAAGGGTCCAATTTTGTCCATCACCGGCTCAGAGCCAAAAAAAAAAAAA